TGCGAAACTACTTTTTTAAGGTTTTTCCCATAGGGTACCTCAATTTTATTTTTGCTAACAATTCTGACAATGTCAGGCTGTTTAAAGAAAACGCAAAAGCTGAAATTGATAAATAACTTAAATGTCAAAAGTGATAAAAAGAAGAAAACTTACTTCTATTCATTCAAACTCCAATCACCAAGTTTCATTTCTAAATTGTTTGTTTCATTTTTACAGTCTGAAAAATACATTCCTTCCACATGCAAACTGCTCTTGATGACATTTGGGCATATTAAAGTATCCTACAAGCAATAACTGCCGTATGCTTTATGAAAAATTGAAAAGCAATGACAGCTATCAGCTCGTAGAACAAGTTAAATACCCAGCGTTCCGAGCAAGTTCCAAGTTTTCCATTTTCATAGCTGCTTTTTTCTTGTTTTCACATATGTCAACACTTATTTTTTGTCTGTTTCAATCCTCAAATATGTTTTCTTTCTTTTAAAAAGGTGTATGACTAACAAATCCAAATGATATCCCTCTGAATCAAACACAATTATTTTCCTCCCGTGAAAAACTTTAAAAAATGGCTGCCACTTACATTTAACAAAGCCAGGTCTAATATAAATTCGCAGTAAGTAACAGAAATATGGATGGATGGTTGGAATTTTTCTCCTACAAGAATTGTTTGTTTTTATTATTAAAACAAACGATCATTCATATTTTTTTAGCAAAATAAATAATATCACTGTCATTTAATGTTGATTGTCGGACTTATTTTTCAGCTCAAGACTTCTTGTTTTTAATGAGAAATTCCGACTAAATGGGGCTCTCAATGGGGAAAACAGATTTTATTATTTACGTTAATATTATGGAAATTTCGTTTTAACTTGTTTTTTAGCATAAAATAAAAAGAAAATTTGTTTGTTTGTTGTGTAAGATGTAATTTCATTTCATCTCGTGAACTTTAAAAACAGTATTCTCACTCGTGGCTACGCCACTCGTGAGAATACTGTTTTTAAAGCCCACTCGATGAAATAAAATTTCATCTTACACACAAACAAACAAATATCCTCTATGTATTTTCCTGTATAAATTTATTTTTATGTATTATAATTCATTTTGCAAGGCACCAGAGTTTGATACATACGGAATTCTGCATAACTAGAGTTGCATCAAAAAATCATTTATGTTCATTTTTTACGACAGCCACACTTTATCCTTGCATATCATGGCTACTTCATTAACAAAGACACTTAAAAAGGAATTAAAAAAAAAAGTTTCCTCAACTGGGATTTGAACTCCAGACCTCTCACTCACTAAACGAGCGCGTTACCCCTGCACCACGGAGCAGTTATACAAACGTTAACTGAATAACATCAAGCCATTCTAAATTTAGAACTTCCATTGCATTTCGGGTTTGTAATTCCTTATTAATTTCGAGGTTTTTTGTTCAGGATAAACCTGTTGTTTAAAATTGAAAAAAATAATTTAGCGAAAATCTTCCCGCCCAAACAGTCCGACATGTAGAATCTATATATTCCACTACTCGGTTTGTGTAGTATTCGGTAATCGACATCGCTAAAAATAGTATTTTCATTGATAAAATCATATTCATCCGCGCAATTTGTGATTGTGCATTTATTGACAATTCTATAAGCCAACGCTATTTTTAAACTTTGAATGCGTTGTAATTTGTTGGATACTTGTAACAAAATAAAAATATTTCTTTCTTTTAAATCGCTAGTTTTAAGCTGTTTTGAGAACTACTTGTTGTTAGGTTTGTCGTAAACTTTTGTGTCAGAAATTGAATTTCCGCTTTGTATTTACTTATTTTCGATCAGAAAATACAATAAAACAATATTAGAAATCTTCGACCATTCGGGAATTATTTTGCTTGAAAATTAATGTGCCTGTCTTTGACAATCTTTACGCAGTGATCTCCCCTGATTTTTTCGGCGTTAGTGTACCTATAAAGGGAAGTAACCACTTCAAAAAAGTGGATTTCTTTCGGCATTTGCAATTAATAGCATTAGACTCTGAAATTTCGCTACCATTATTTGTTTGGTCTGACGACCCAAACAAATAATAACTAAACTGTCCTTACCTTTTAAGTTTTAAGTGTATCCGATACTTTACTGTAGGCCTACTTGAGAAGTTTTCTTTTTTTTATTCTTTAAGCAAGTGATGATATCTACAAATCATAAACATACAATAACCTAGGTTTTATTTAGGAAACAAAACACTAACCCATTTACACGGTTATGATCTGTGAAATCTGATCCTTCTGTTTCCAGAATATTCTTAGCATGGTTTTTGACAAAATAACGATGATATCCTATGTCCACCATATCTGTAACGTTTCACTGATTAAATTTGTTAAATAATCCTTTGTTGCATGCTTAAATTGTCTGCATGTTCCAGTTTGACCTGGGACATATCCCAGGTTTGACACATAATTATTTACATTGCAATTACTTCCGTTGAAAACGGATGTATGTTCACTTTTTGACTATTCAGCAAAAAGATATTTTATATCACTTTTTGACTATTCAGCAAAAAGATATTTTATACGCGAAAAGCACTCCAGGGTGCAAACAACTAAATTTTATGAGTGTCATAGGGACTCCAGAGGAGAAATTGATGTCCTATCGGGGTTTAACGTTGAAAATAAGAATGAATCGAGAAAAAAATGGCGGCCATTTTATTTCATTTTATTTAGGAAATAGACCATGTGACCTCTTAAAAAATACTGTTACCTATGTAACAGTACAAAATTCTTAGTCACGTGGTACACTTGCATTAACAGTAAAAATAACTCCCAGAGGCCTATGGGAAATGAGCATTACGAAAAAAGTGAGGGGTAATAATATAAATTGATTATTATTTTGAGAATTTCGAAAACAGTAACAGCAAAACACTTACAATAGCTACGATATTGTTGAATTTTTGGTCCAGTCCTCTCAAAATAGTATTATTTTTAACATGTTTCCTTGCCAATTTTTTAAGCTGGTTATCTTTTACTCATTTTGTTGTAAACTACTGAGTTTTACTCATTTTTTAACGAGCCGTTGACTAATTAACATTCTAGGCCATTGGTACAGCTTAGTAATTTTCGGATATTATCATTTATTCCAAATTAGGTAAGGTCACGCAGCTAAATGTCGCGCGCCAGTAAACATGGTAAAGGTCGCGTTGAATCCGTTTTCAATTCTAAATATGGAAAATATGGTAAAGTCGCGTAACAAGGAGTCATGCAAACTTTAGCCCTTCAGTATCTCCAATACTGTTGACAAAATATTAAATTTTATGAATGAGATTCCTTGCTAAATTATCTATATAAAGGTGACTTGGTCCAAATGTTGGCTGGAAAAGGTATTTCTTAGTTTAATTTTTTCTTGTTTAAAGAATAGAAAATCATAAGTAAGTGTATAATATTGTATACCATATGTAGTACAAATGTTTTCACTTTATATGCAAATATATGTTGCACTAAGTCTGTTCATCAAATAGTTTTGCTATTAAGTAAATATTTACGTATATATATGTATTTTTATGCCCCCCTTTTGGAGTCACTAGGTCAAAGGTCAAGGTCACAGGGCTCTTGAATGTTAGTATGGTTTCCGCTCATTTATCTTGAAAGCTATTTATCACAAAGTCTTCATGTTTCTACTATTGATTGGTCATAACTATTAGATGACCCCCATTGATTTTGGCTCTCTAGTTCAAAGGTCTTGGTCACAGGGGCCTTAAATATCACATTATCTTGAAAAGTATTGTCATTATTTTTCTTTTTTCCATAATTGAACACTTCCATGTACCCATTTATGGCAAGTTTCTTTAATAAAATTACCAATTATGTGAGTCAGGGTTAGAAAGGGGGGCATATGCGTCGTTCGACATTTCTTGTTGTACTTATGTTTGTATTGCGCAACAGTCACTTGTGCGCAATTTTGGACATTGTTAAGGCATTTCAGCACTTGAATTAGGTCGCGAGAGGAGTCGTGCAGACTGATTTTCGTAAGTTGGTCGCACGCCAGTCTACTTTTGCAAACCACGTAAGCTGCATGCGCAGATAAAAGGGTATATAAGCTGGGGATTTTCTATTTGTTTGGTTTCTTTGAGTTAACTGGAGTTGAAGATTTGTTGTTACTCAGTTGAGTTGTTGTTGTTTATGTGTTTAATTTGTTTGTGACTTTTGCTAGAATATAATTTTGATGCATAATTTTAGCTTAATTTTTTTATTATCAGGCTTAGACATGGGCTTCTTATTTATTATATAAGCATTGAGTTCTAAATGATAGACTTTTTCAGCGAAAACGTGTTTATACAGATTTCTGTTTTAAAACAACAAAGTAATATTGTAACAATATCAGCAAGCACTATAATATGACCGAGTTTGTACGGAAATTTTGGTGCTCATTTAACTTCGGAACACCTCGCCAATTATTCCTTATTTCAGTGTATCTGGGGACTGATGGAAGTAGCTTATATGTTGCTATTGTTCGCAGATAGATTCGACCAATCAGAAATCCCGCCATTTGAACAATTAATCAAATCTTCAACAGCTGCGAAAAGACCTGTCGCATGCTTCTTTGTAAAGAAGTAAACTTGTATTCAACGAACTTTATGTTATCAACCATAACCAATTTTTATCTCTTCTTAACTGTCATGGTCAATAGTTTTTTCTGAGCTTGCACACACTTAAGTTATAAATTTCCATTTTTAACCAGTAGATAATGCTCCACTTTGTATTACTTGTACTTGCAATAATCATTTCCCTTCTTGAATTCCATAATCTTGCACAGTTTTTTTATAGATATAATCGGGTAAATACAATTTCAAATCTTTTTGACGGAGTTCATATATTGACCTGTTACTTAAAATATATTAACCTGTATTCAAAGATTTAACTTACTCATTTTATAAGAATGTATTAACTCACTTAAAAATATGACCAGTAATATGTCAATGTGCCGTTTAACAATAATAAACAAAAAAACTAAACGTTTATGTATCTTCATTTTATTATATATTTTTATGTGAAAGATTATTACATTTTAACTTTAAAGTTAACACTTCTCTTGAAAAATTAAACATACATGCATACACAACTTATAAATATTTTTAGAGCATATAGGTAAAAAAATTAAATTGATGTAAAATTTTACTATTTATCCATTTCAAAAAGTAATAATCTTTCACTGATCCCGCGAAAAGTAACATAATAATATCCAAGTGAATGTTTACATTAATTTATCTATTACTTCTATAGCATTTTTCCCCAAACTAATTAAAATAAAGCAACAATTTTCAGCCAGCTCTTACGAAGATTAAGCATAAGCACAATTTGAGCCGCATCACGACAAAACCAACATAATGCGTTTGCGACCAGCATGGATCCAGATCCGCGCAGTCTGATCAGGGCTTACAAACCCTATAACAAGTAGAAAAATTGAAAGCGAACAGCATGGATCCTGATCAGACTGCGTGGATGCGCAGGCTGGTCTGGATCCATCCAGGTCGCAAACGCATTATGTTGGTTTTGTCATGGCGCGACTTAGACATTCTCGTAATGTATAATCCCTCTTCTAGATATATATACTATGAGTTAGTTATAAAATGCTTGTATTTCAGCAAAGTGAAGCCAGAGTCCGTCTTTTACTACTTTAAGAGAATCTCCATACGTTCGTTGATTGCATAGTATTTCGACATAATATTGATTCGTTGCAGGACCTGCATATTGTGCACAAAGATTGTCTCCAACATATATCGTCAAATCCCTAAGTCTAGCCCCTGCAATAAATAACAATTTGATAAAATAGATATCAAAACAGCTTATAAGTAAAGCTGTATACATTCAATAATTCTATGAAAACGATTTAAAATTAATGCTGTGTTATATACATGTATAGATTTACTTACGTTTTGACAAAATCAAAATATTTCTAAGAAGTTATAATAAATTGAATTTACTTGGAACATTCAAGTTCAAAATTACGGCGAACTGTATGTCACTTTGCTGCAGCTCGCCATACTACACTAAATGACAACAATCTTAAAGTGTTTTTAGAATAATATCATCCTTCTAAATGTGCCTAAAACAGTGACAGCTGACACTGACGGTAGATCAGATGGTCGGTAGGTAGGTAGGTAGGTAGGTAGGTAGGTGGGTATTATTACGATGTTCTTGTTGTTTTCGAAAACAAGTTACAATATTTTGTCTATTCAAAATAACACTCTAGGCGAAATTATGTTTAATCAGAGCCAGTATACAGCGATACCCAACAGACCTGTGCTTTTAAGAGGCAGGAAAAAGTCAGAAGTCAGAGAAACAAATGAAAGTATTTTGAAGTACACGATTAGTGATATTGCCAAACTGTTGGCATATCGCTATTGCTGATACATTCCATTTAAAAGCGTTATACGAAAGTACACAATGTTTCTGTTAGACAATAACCTCATATATTGACATGACCAAAAATGGTGAAGGTTCCAAACAGCTACGCAACTGCTTAACATATTTCCTAACATCAATCAAAGACAATTTGGGAAAATATTTACTGGTGACGAAGCATTGGCTCAATATTTCGAACTAGGAGAAAAATTATGAACAAAATATTCGCCGGAAAGACTATACACATTATTACCTAAATGGTGCAGAAAAAATATGGCCTTAATTATGCTTTTGGCATAATCTAAAAAAAACACATGTTTAAAACCACTGTTGCATAGTAAATTATTAACTCAAACTTTCAAAAAATGTATGTATGCATTAACTGACGCGATTTACGAAAAATGTTTCACAACGAAAGCCTGTGAAGGTCGCGCTTACTTTTCTCGGGTAGATGCGCGTGTCCTGATTTCTAAGATGCGTTGCTGATGTTTTCAAGGTTTATAGATTATTCTAAGAGCAAATTTTATTTTAAAAGTGCTATAATGGTAAATATTTATTACTGGTATAACTGTTTGTTTGCGTTATTCATTGAACGTTTGACAGTCGTATTATGCAAAATAAACACGTGTCATGCATTTTGATACCTTTATTTTAGTAAAAGTAACATTTTCCACGGTAAAATTAAATGTTAAAGGAAAATTTAATATTTGAACATTAAAATAATATGTCATAAATATAGCAAATCGTAAAAAAGTGGTTATTTGACTTCCATTCAAAAAAGCTTAATTTTGAAACTACTTTTATAACAGAACAGAAACTTTATTACTTGGTTTAAGCATAAAAAGCTCATCACCATATTAAATATACAAATACAACATATAATACATAAATGACACATGACATGAATATATATAATTACAAAATAATGGTTTATGTGATGTGAGAATGTTTAATTTGAGATACGAAATTACTTAAAAAGCATATGAATACATGTATATAATACACAAGAATTGGCCTATCTTTACCAAACATTATCAATTTAAGCTACAATACATTTTCTTTTATGTTATTCAAAAAAGCAAACTGTGACAAATAAAGGGGGATAACTTAGGTAACTTTACATAACCAGTATTTAAACATTTACTTCCCCTTAATAATTCATGATCAATATTAATAGAATTAATTTCTATATGGAAAAGAAAAACCCACACAAAACAGACCAATACCCAAAACAACTAACACTTGACTTAATTATAAGGATTAATTTTGTCAAAACATTTTATCATGGTATTTATATTTTGTTATGTGTTGAAAAACAGATCAATTTAATTTGAGAAGTTACAAATATTAATAAATAAATTTAAAAAAAATATATGTATATATGTACAATTTCATATTCACATATAACTTTACAAATTTACATGATGGATATACAATGCGCATTTAACAGTAACAATGATACTTTTTTCATTTTTTTAAACAACAGAAAAAACAGAGAAAGAGAGTAAAGCTTACATGTCAGTATATTATAACAAACTATCCCTCAATTTAAAAGCTTTATCACAGAATATAGCTAAATTTTTCAGTTCTTTCTTGCGACCAGTTTGCATTAATGAAATGAATTTAAACATACTTGTGTTGCAATAATAGTATCTTGGAATGTATTGCTTTCTTAACTCAGAATATATCGGACATTTAAGGATAAAGTGAAATTCATCTTCTATATCATTCATATAACATAAAGTGCACTTTCGTTCATTCCTTGGTACATTATTATGTCTTCCTAACTCGATATTAAGTTTGTGTGAGGAGAGCCTTATTTTTGCTAAAACATTTCTATATTTTACATTTTCAATATATTTTATGTATAACGATTGTTCAAATGTGATCTTATATTCCCTATACACATCTAACAATGATGAAGATTGAATACCATCATTCCAACAACTTATATAAATATCCCGTAATCTATTCCTAAAAATAGGTACAAATATTTTTATATTAACAGAATCGGGATATAACCAGACTTCATTAAATCCTGCTGACTGAAGAATGTTTTTGACTTTTGAAGCCCAGTTTGTTGAACAATTTACCACATCAACATCATATATCTGTCTACACAATATTGTTCTTAATATACAATTATCTTTTTACCTGTAATTAACTTAAGAAAATATTTTGTCATACGAATATGCCTTTCAATGAAAAGAGGAAATCTCCCCAATTCTGCATATAATGCCAAAGTATTTGTTGAGTGTTTAACATTTAAAATAAACCTACAAAAATTTTAATGTACTCGTTCCAAAACCTCTGCATTCATTAACCCCCATACTTCACAGCCATAATTTTAAAATTGATAAAACATAGGCGTCAAAGAGATTAAACATAATGTTAACTGGTACTTTGTAGTCACGTAACAATTGTAACAATGAATATAATGATCTGAGCCCTTTCCCAGCTAACGTCTTTGTAGCTTGCATGAATGACCCACCACTCGTGAATACCACACCTAAGTAGTTAAATGAATTTACTTCCTCGATTTCTTGATTATTATAAAACCACTTATCCATATTACCAAGTCTACCACCTTTTCTGAATACAATTATTTTTGTCTTTTCAACATTTACCGTCAAATTCCAACGATTACAATAGGACAATAAACTATCAAGTGACTTCTGCAAACCAGACCTAGATTCTGAAATGATGGCGGCATCGTCAGCAAATAACAATAAATAAATTGATATTTGGTCGATATTAAGACCAACGTCAATATTTTCCTGCAGGTGTAATTCGATATCATGCAAGAACAGGGAGAAAAATATTGGAGAAGTTATCTCCCCCTGGAAGAGACCAATGCTACTATTGAAGACATCAGATAACGTTCCTAGATGTTTTACACATAATTTTACATCATTATACATTGATCTTATAATTGACAAGAATTTGCCGTCAATACCTAGTTTTATAAGTTTATACCATAACCTTGACCTATCAATACAGTCATATGCTTTTCTATAATCAATGAAACAACAGTACAGTTTCTTTTTGTTTTCAATTTGCCTTTGTATGAGTGAATGTAAGATAAAAACAGGATCAACTGTGCTATACCCATTTTTGAAACCAAACTGGGCATCCGACAATACACAGTTGTCTTCAGCCCATGATTTAAGTCTTTCGTTTAATATAATTGTAAACAGCTTAGAAAAACAGCTAGTAAGTGTGATTCCTCTATAATTGTTGGGATCTGAAATATTGCCCTTCTTATGCAAGGGAATAATAACACCTGTCGCCCATGACTTGGGAAATTTCTTCTTATCTAGTATATCGTTAAAGAACAAGTTTAAAGGGTGAATTATCTGAGGGACAGATACTTTAAAATATTCATATAGGATATTATCTAACGAGGGCGTTTTGTTTACTCCTAACTTCTTGATAGCTTTCAAGATTTCCTCATTTGTAATACGTTCATCTAGCGTCTCAAATGTGCTACTGTCATATATCCCCTCACCTAAATTATTGATAAAATCGTCATAGTCATTATTTTCTACTTCCTCCCTCTCCCCTGACATTAAATTGCAAAAATAATCTTTAAAATCACTAACTGAAATATCTTCCCCACAAACAGTAGAATTTGTACTTTTGAATATTTTCCAAAATTCCCTTGGTGATTTCCTCCTTAAATCGTTCATTTTCTGACAACGTGTACATGTATTATTAAAAGCATTCTTTGATTTTCTACATTGATATTTATAGTCTTTTCTTTTATTAAAAAGTATAGTTCTATCTTCTGAAGAGTAAGATAAATTATATCTGGATACAGCATCCTTATATGCAGCCAATTTTTGAGAACATAAATTATCAAACCATTTCTTATTTTTGTTATTATCACTAAAACAAACTTCACTGTCAACAATATAAGTCTTCTTGAAATACTTATCACCATGCTTACACAAAAAATTAGTAAAAATAGAGGTGAGTTTATCAACACTGTTTTCTCCATTAATTTCAGAACGTAAATCACTTTCAAGTGAGTTCAAATTTTGAGATATATCTCTCAAAAATAAATCTTGGTTTCTTTTATCAAACTTAATACGTGTATTAGTACTACTTGTAGGCTCATATAATGGTTCAATATTAGTTTTAAAAGAAAACGACAATGTGGCATGGTTGGAAAAAATATTGAATTCTCCGACCTCAAAATTGTCAAGTAAGCAAAAATTATCTTCTTGTGTAAGTAGGTAATCTACTACACTTGTTCCATTATGCGTGAAACAGGTAAATTTCCCATGATCACCTGACCAGCGACCGTTAACTATTCGCTGATTGGTTGCTTTACAGAGATCAAGTAGATAATCACCGAACCGATTTGACGTAGTATCTCGAGAAATGCGAGGCATGT